GAGCATTTGAATGAGGGGAAAAAAGAGAGAAAAAGAGAAGTAATTTTGTTATAGAAGCTTGGAAGTCTTCTCCTAAAAGTGGAAGAACTGATGACTTTTTACCCTACCTCTGTGTCAACTGCATGTCTTAGAAGGTTGAGGAAACAATGAAAGAGCAAATCTGACCAAAAAGAACTTGGTGATATGGAGTTCTAGAAAGTTTGGGCAGGCTGATCCTTAACATTTGTAGTGAGCAGGTTGAAAGTATAAAATGGAGGCCTGCATACCATACTTATATATGTAAAAGCTACAAGTCAAGCTAACAAGCTACTAAAGTAGGTTCTATTCTCCTATCTTTCTACCTTGAGAAATATACCTTCAAAATGACCTGGAAGGTATAGATCTGTATTTAGAATTCTTGTACTCTTTGAAATTTCTTGTTAGAATGAGGTGGTGGATGGGGAGCTCACCCCTGACCCTGATGGTCAGCTTCCTTTTCTTTCCACTTGTGGCTCTGTCTTGCACTTGAGAGGCCTTGGGTACATGCAAGTGGACAGCCCAGTTTGCATGTCCAAGCTCCATACATACTCATCAGCAAACAGCTGCCTCTTGGCTACCTCTCAGGTATAAGGATGGGCATGTTGTAATTCACTCTTGGAAGGATGGATTGCAGGAAGAGGCTGGAATAGGCGCTGGAAGTAGGCTTGGGCTGATTGAGCAGAGAGTTGGGGGTACTGGATATCCTGAGTGTGTCAGAAAGGGTACATATGGGCTCTGGGAGGACACATCACTTTGGTCTCATGTACTCTTCCAAAGCATGATTGAATGTGTGTCCCCCATGACCTCTCAGAGTTAACTGCATTTAAAAATGAAATGCTTGTTAACTAAATGAATTTAAAATTGCTATAAGCTCAATTTAAAGCAAGGAATAAAGTGGAGTAAAGAAAATTCAGGCATTATGGACAAAGACAACTTGGGGAGACGGGAAGGATCCCCATGGGTACTTTGTTCTGCCTTAAGGACTATCCCCGGAGACCTCTGTTACTGCTGTCAAGAGATTTGTTTTCCTCCCTTTGATTCTGAAAACTGGGATTTTAATCTAGTCTGCCTGTCTCCAAACCTGTACCTTTCCTACTTTATGAAACTGTCTCTATTGGATAGAAGTTGAAAAGTAGCAGATTTCAACTCAACATAAGGAAGAACTTTATAAAAGTAATCACTGGCATCTAATGGTATAGTAAGCATCTCATTTCTATTCATCCAAGCCCAGTACATTGTTGAAATGAAGGGCGCTGTAGGAGGTGTCCTTGAATTGTTTGGGAGGTACTTTCTAACTCTTGAAATTTTGTCGATTATAAAATGCAAACGCCTTGGGGTATAATATCCACACCCTAGTAGAATTTTTGTTTTGGATTCACATTGTGTTATTGCTACAAGAGGTCTAACAATTTGTCGGACTTTGACCTTGCTTTCACTTCATTTGCAAAATTCTACAGTTTTCTGCCTATTATTACCTTGATCTCCAAATCAGTTTCCTGAGTTGACTAGAAAATGTTTTGATACTATACACAAAGTGATTAGTATGTATTAGTGTTTTTAATAGTATAGTCAATTTTGCAGTATATAGTTGTATTTAAATGCTTTAAATTATTAGATTTGTCATAATTGTTTCCTTTGAAACTTTCAGCATAGTTATCTTTGTTTTTAATATCAAACTTTGCTGAAGACACATGAAAGAATTATAAATATTATGAGTATATTTGATTATAAGCCTATTTGAAATTCACTATTTTGACTATGTACAAATTTCTATGGTAAGTCACTGGGAACAGTCTTTGGCAGATTCCTATTATTCTCAAGAATACTTCACATATCCATATTTGCAGTAAGAGAATCATGGAGTGTAGCCATGTGACATATATTGGGTTGGCCAAAAAGTGCCTTTGGTTTTTAAGTAAAAATAAAAACACGTTTTTCATTTTCACCAAGAACTTTATTGAACAACATATTCACCCTTTTGTTCTACTACCTTCTGCCATTTTTTAGGCAACTTCATATTTCCGTCTTCCCAAAACTTTTAATCTTGTTGAGCAAAGAACTGTTCCAGGTGCCTTTTATAGTCTTCCAGGGAATTGAAATTTTTTCCATTAAGAGAATTTTGTAAAGACCGAAATAAATGGAAATCTGAAGGTGCAATGTCTGGTGAATATGGCAGATGAATCAGAACTTCCCAGCCAAGCTGTAACAGTTTTTGCCTTGTTGTCAAAGAAACATGCAGTCTTGCGTTATCCTGATGGAAGATTATGAGCTTTCTGTTGACTAATTCTGGACGCTTTTCATCATGTGCTGTTTTCTATTGGTCTACTGGGAGCAGTACTTGTTGGAATTAATTGTTTGGTTTTCCAGAAGGAGCTCATAATAGAAGACTACCTTCCAATCCCACCATATATACAACATCACCTTCTTTGGATGAAGACCGGCCTTTGGTGTGGTTGGTGGTGGTTCATTTCGCTTGCCCCACGATCTCTTCCATTCCACATTATTGTACAGTATCCACTTTTTCATTACTAGTCACAATTTGTTTCAAAAATGGAACATTTTCATTACGTTTAAGTAGAGAATTGCATGAGGAAAAATGGTCAAGAAGGTTTTTTTTGCTTAACTTATGTGGAACCCAAACATCAAAGCAATGAACATAACCAAGCTGGTGCAAATGATTTTTAGTGCTTGATTTAGATATTTTGAGTATGTTGGCTATCTCCCACGTGGTATAACATTGATTGTTCTCAGTTAATGTCTCTATTTTATCACTGTCAACTTCCACTGGTCTGCCCGGCCACAAAGCATCGTACAGCAAGAAATCTCCAGCACGAAACCTCACAAACCACTTTTGACATGTTTGATCATTCACAGCACCTTCTCCATACACTGCACAAATCTTTTTTTTTGCATTTCGGTTGTTATTTTTACTTTTCTTGAAATAATAAAGCATAACATGCTGAAAATGTTGCCTTTTTTCTTCCATCTTCAGTATTAAAATGGCTACACAAAAAATTCACAAATTTTGATGTCTTTTTTTAAATGCACACTGATACGACAGCTGTCACATACAATCTAACAAAATTGTTTTGAATGAAGTTAAAGACAACTAAGTGCTACTAGAGCCATGTTATGGAAAAAACCGAACAAACCTTTTGGCCAGCCCAATATTTGGAGAGCAGTAAGACTTCTAGGTTCTATAGTATTTGCCTCTATTTAAAAAAATTGTTATTACTAATCTAAGAATTAGATTACATTAAGATAAGAGCCAATAAGGAAGATTTTTTTGTTATAGGGTGGTTTTGTTTGTGCATCTCTCTCTGCACAGGTATCAGATATATGGTGTGGAAAGGCCTTAGTGAAGAACTGATCTTTTCATGTTACATGTAACATGTAAAGACATCATGATTATCTTTGGTTATATACAGTAACACATTTATGGATCCAAGGAAAGGGTCCAGTGAGTGGGAGAGGTTGAAGAGCAAAGATATGCTGATTTTATGGAACTAGACCAGTGTGAGTTGAGAAAGGATAGGAGGAGAATGGGGGTAGACTCTCAGGGGAAGAAGCTGGGAGGAAACATGGGCCCTACCCTGAGATTCTGATTTCCCTTAGAGGTTGGAGGCATAGGTATAGGAAAAAGAACAATCTTCTTTCCTAGAATCACTGAGAGTGAGAGGAGTCTTAAAAGGACTGATTCTGGATAAAAGAGACACCATGAAAATGTGTCCTCATTCATTCATTCTTTCACTCATTCATCTATCCATCCATAGTCCATTCATAGAATCAACCAGTCAACTAAAAACAAAACAACTGTCTGCCCTTATATCTAAAATAATAAATAGAAAAACTAAAGTAAAAGTAATACATTCTAATTCTTTTTTTGTTTTAGTTTCCATGAGTATCGTAGGGAATATCAAGATATTTTCTAGGGGCAGATTCTTATGTTCTCTTAGCCTGCAAGTATAGGAAACTTTGAAAGAAAATAGGTAACAGGTAAATGGAAAGATTTGTGCATTGATAGTAACACACATTCCTGTAGACTCTTAAGTTTATTTTTAATAGGCTAAGTTATATATAGGATAGATGTCTTTCTTACTGTTTATCTCCATGAACCTTCAGTAAATACTTGCTGGGTGATTATTGACTGTGAACAAGTTAATACAAATCTGTGGGCTTAGTGATTTGGGTAATAGTCTTCATGGTGGATGTGTTACTTTGGATATGTTATGAAATTCCACATATGGTCATTTGATATATATATATGTATTCTTATGCAAAAATCTCCCTGCATCGACTTTTAAGATTAATGTTCATGTCTTAAAGAATGGCTTGCAATTTTTTTCTTATTTTGTCTTGCTCAAATATCAATGCCTTCTCAGATTTGTCATTTTATAATAATGATGCCAATTTATATTAGTTTTTTTTCTGTACAGGAAAGTAAATTGCTCCAAACTTTCTTCTCCAAATCAAAACCCTCAAACAATTCCCGAGACAAATAGAGACATAGCACCTGTAGAGACGTAGCACCTGTCTTCCAAATTCCTACCTGATTCCTCATCTGAGTTGTCATTAACAATAGGCAAAATATGGGCTCTGGCTGTCTCAGTGCTATGACTTCATGGAAGTCAAAACACTTGCTTGCTGTAAGATATGTCTCACCAACTCAGCCATTCTTTTTCACTTAAGACTCCTGATCAAATGCAAAGTCACCTTGGCTGGTTATTATTTCAGTCATGAACATACTAGCATAGATTAATTTGCCAGAGGACCTAAGCCCAGAAGCATGACCTCAGAGAACAGTTGGGGAATATCTTGTTTCTCTGTTGGTAGACTTGGCACCCTGGTCCTCTGAGGGCTACAACTGATAGCAGGAGGAGGTGCTTGAATACTAATCTCACGTACCCTATGATTTTCATTAGTGCTTTCCTTTAGAAAGTATTTTTCTTTATTAATAAGTGTCTTTTTGTTTTTGTGCCCAGGCAGTCATGTCAGCTGAAACACCAATCACACTGAATGTTAATCCTCAGGATCTGCAGGTCCAGACATTCACCGTAGAGAAGCTGCTGGAGCCTCTCATAATCCAGGTATTAATACCATGGAAATTACAACATGTAGTAACTGAAAAAGAACTAAAAAACATAGGAAAAATAGATAATGAATTTTTCCTAGAAAATGAATTTTTCTATTCATTCATAGAATGAATATGTTATCTAAAATTGTCCTTCAAAATGTTTTTAAAGTGTACAAAAGTATGTATTTAGTAATAGTAATGATAAAATTCTGAAAGTTCCTCCCAGATTCTCTTTTAAAAGCAACAGAAGTAATAATATGCGTATGAAATTTTCAAAGTAACTTTATGTAAATTATCTTGTTTGATAGTCATGAAAACTCAGTGAGGCAGGCAGCATGGTTAAAACCATCCTTGTTACATAGATGAGGAAACAGCCTAGAGAATTTCAGTGACTTGCCCCAAAGCACATGGGGGCTCATTTGTCAAATAGGAAATTATTTTTGAAATACCAAAATGTATGAGAAAGGCAGATATTTAAGGCATTCTGTGATAAAGTCTTTCATAAAGTAAATAATTCCTTGATAATATGCATAATGATTCTCTGACTTACTTATTATGTAAGCCCAGATTTTATTCATTGGGTTTTCTTAAAGCAGAGCTTGAAGAAACTTATACTATAATATAGATTTAAATTTCTTTTTTTTAACCCAAAATTTGTGAGGAAACCCCCCTTTAGGCCACCTTACATCATACATCCTAAGACAAATTGTCCCTTTTTTTAAGGTCTTGAAGTACTCAAGGGTTTCCTAAGTGAGAATCAACAGTGACCTTACCTCTGATAATTTAAAAATCTGCTTGTCTTCTTTGTGAGGTGGATGGTGCGGAGGGGAGTAGCTCTGAGAATAGGCTTTGTACACTTTTTTACTTAGCACAGTCGATATCTCCTACTGGAAAGACAATTCAAAACAAGTGCCTCACTGATGATAGCTTAGTCATGAACTTTGGCGTCTAAAAGGCACTAATATCTGGTATGAAATTGATATTAGATGATTCTGAGACTCCACTGAAGCCCCTATCTTAGCCACCCACAGAATGGTCTCATGTTAAAAAGAAACAAACAGACATGTTCATTGTTTTTCTAATAGAGTCCACTAAAAAAATAGGAAAAGCAAAACAAAACAAAAACCCAACGAAAAACCAGAAAATAAAAAAATACAATTTTAACAGTAAGCGGTAAACATTAATATTGTGATGCATGTACTTCCAGTACAGTAAAGTTATGGGTGATTTTTGTTATCTTCTTAGTACTTTATAATATTAAAGAATGTAGATACATCTTAAATATATAAAGCATATATATATATATATATATATACAAGGTGGAGATGGTACTGTATATGTAGCTTTTATCTCATTCTTCTATTTAAAATGATATTTTAATAATTTCCTCATTCTTTGTAAGCATGATTTAACAAAACTGCTGTTTAATTATCCTTTATATGGCTGCACCATAGTTTTTTAAAGTAGCCTCTCATTTTTGGACATTTAGGTTGTTTCAGTTTTTTACCATTATAAATAATGCTCTTCTGAACATCTTTGTACATAAGTTTGTGTCATCTGTTCAAATTGTTTCCTTAGAATTTTACTAAATGTAAAAGTAAGTGGCAAAGATAAGAGAATTCTTATGCTTTTTCATATATATTACCAAGTTTTTTGGAGAAGGTTTTTGTTTGTTTGTTTGTTTTAATGAAAATTTTTTTCTTATTACTCATTACTCATCCATTTTATACACATCAGTGTATACATGTCACTACCAATCTCCCAATTCATCACACCACAACCCCACACCCCTTGCCGCTATCCCCCCTTGGTGTCCATGCATTTTTTTTCTACTTCCGTGTCTCAATTTCTGCTCTGCAAACAGGTTCATCTGTACCATTTTCTAGGTTCCACATATATGCGTTAATATACGGTATTTGTTTTTGTCTTTCTGACTTACTTCACTCTGTATGACAGTCTCTACAAATGACCCAATTTCGTTCCTTTTTATGGCTGAGTAATATTCCATCGTATATATGTACCACATCTTCTTTATCCATTCATCTGTCGATGGGCATTTAGGTTGCTTCCATGTCCTGGCTATTGTAAATAGTGCTGCAATGAACATTGTGGTACATGACTCTTTTTGAATTCTGGTTTACTCAGGGTATATGCCCAGTAGTGGGATTGCTGGATCATATGGTAATTCTATTTTTAGTTCATTAAGGAACCTCCATACCATTCTCCATAGTGGCTGTATCAATTTACATTCTCACCAACAGTGCAAGAGGGTCCCCTTTTCTCCACACCCTCTCCAGCATTTGTTGTTTGTAGATTTTCTGATGATGCCCATTCTGACTGGTGTGAGATGATATCTCATTGTAGTTTTGATTTGCATTTCTCTAATGATTAATGATGTTGAGCATTCTTTCATGTGTTTGTTGGCAGTCTGTATGTCTTCTTTGGGGAAATGTCTATATAGGTCTTCTGCCCATTTTTGGACTGGGTTGTTTGGTTTTTTGATATTGAGCTGCATGCGCTGCTTGTATATTTTGGAGATTAATCCTTTGTCATTTGCTTCATTTGCAAATATTTTCTCCCATTCTGAGGGTTTTCTTTTTGTCTTGTTTATGGTTTCCTTTGCTGTGCAAAAGCTTTGAAGTTTCATTAGGTCCCATTTGTTTGTTTTTATTTCTATTATTCTAGGAGGTGGATCAAAAAAGATCTTGCTGTGATTTATGTCAGAGTGTTCTGCCTACGTTTTCCTCTAAGAGTTTTATAGTGTCCAGTCTTACATTTAGGTCTCTAATCCATTTTGAGTTTATTTTTGTGTATGGTGTTAGGGAGTGTTCTAATTTCATTCTTTTACATGTACCTGTCCAGTTTTCCCAGCACCACTTATTGAAGAGACTATCTTTTCTCCATTGTATATCCTTGCCTCCTTTGTCATAGATTAGTTGACCATATGTGCGTGGGTTTATCTCTGGGCTTTGTATCCTGTTCCATTGATCTATATTTCTGTTTTTGTGCCAGTACCATATTTTCTTGATTACTGTAGCTTTGTAGTATAGTCTGAAGTCAGGGAGTCTGATTCCTCCAGTGATGTTTTTTTCTCTCCAGACTGCTTTGGCTATTCAGGGTCTTTTCTGTCTCCATACAAATTTTAAGATTTTGTGTTCTAGTTCCGTAAAAAGTGCCATTGGTAATTTGATAGGGATTTCATTGAATCTGTAGATTGCTTTGGGTAGTATAGTCATTTTCCCAATATTGATTCTTCCAATCCAAGAACGTGGAATATCTCTCCATCTATTTGTATCATCTTTAATTTCTTTCATCAGTGTATTATAATTTTCTGCATCCAGGTCTTTTGTCTCCTTAGGTAGGTTTTTTCCAGGTATTTTATTCTTTTTGTTGCAATGGTAAATGGCAGTGTTTCCTTAATTTCTCTTTCGGAGTTTTCATCTTCAGTGTATAGGAATACAAGAGATTTCTGTGCATTAATTTTGTATACTGCAACTTTACCAAATTCGTTGATTAGCTCTAGTAGTTTTCTGGTGGCATCTTTGGTATTCTCTATGTATAGTATCATGTCATCTGCAAACAGTGACAGTTTTACTTCTTCTTTTCCGATTTGTATTCCTTTTATTTCTTTTTCTTCTCTGATTGCTGTGGCTAGGACTTCCAAAACTATGTTGAATAACAGTGGTGAGAGTGGACATCCTTGCCTTGTTCCTGATCTTAGAGGAAATGCTTTCAGTTTTTCACCATTGAGAATGATGTTTGCTGTCGGTTTGTCATATACGGCCTTTATTATGTTGAAGTAGGTTCCCTCTGTGCCCACTTTCTGGAGAGTTTTTATCATAAATCGGTGTTGAATTTTGTCAAAAGCTTTTTCTGCATCTATTGAGATGATCAGATGGTTTTTCTTCTTCAATTTGTTAATATGGTGTATCACACTGATTGATTTGCATATATTGAAGAATCCTTGCATCTCTGGGATAAATCCCACTTGATCATGGTGTATGATCCTTTTAATATGTTGTTGTATTCTGTTTGCTAGTATTTTGTTGAGGATTTTTGCACCTATATTCATCAATAATATTGGTCTGTAATTTTCTTTTTTTGTAGTATCTTTGTCTGGTTTTGGTATCAGGGTGATGGTGGCCTCATAGAATGACTTTGGGGTTTTCCTTCCTCTGCAATTTTTTGGAAGAGTTTGGAGAAGGTATTAAACGAGTTCTCATAATTTATTTCAGATTTTGTTCCAGTGCAGTTACTGGGGGTGGGGTGGGGAAATGACCTTCATTTTGGAGATGGCTGGTAAAGGCAAGTACATTAATGCCACTGCATAACCCTTATTTGTACTATAACTATGGAACATTAGAGCTGGACTTAAGACTTGTTAATCACAAAGGCTGCTGACATATTTCTTAGGAACAGAGAAAGTATCATTATGGAGAAACTACTTTTTATATTCTAAATGAAATCAATAGATGTTTTGCTTTATTCAAGTACCTTGATACAGCAGTCAATAGAGAGTGTTCTCGGTAAATTCACATTAAAGAGTATGCTGTTCACAATATATGTGTATTTTTCTGGCATGTTTAAAAACTATTTAATCTATAAACATTTATTGAATCCACCTAGAAAATTAGAAGGGTGAAAATTACCTGAAGGGTGAAGATAACCTTGATTAGAAGAAATTTAACTCTTTTGAAAAGTGTGATTATGGTAATTTTAGAGGGCTTTTAATGTGATGCCTGGATTCAGACTCTTCATATCTGCAAGTAAATGAGTCAGGGGAAGAGAAATTAGTACTTATTGTATGCCAGATAGTTCTTAGTTACATGAAAGTGTAATTGCTAATTTTATCTTCAAGGAAGTTTGGTATACTACTTCACCAATATCTCAGAAGAAAAGTTTCTAGATCTTAGTAATACTCAAGTAAAATGAAATTTAAAATGTAAATAATTTATAGAATATTTACTATGTTCAGGAACTATCTCATAAAGGAGACTTTTTGTACATCAAAAT